TTCATGCTCTCCCTCTCTCTCTTTCTTTCTTTCTTTCTTTCTTTTTCCCTATTTCTATCTCTTCCTATCTCTTTCTCTTTCTATTTTTCTGTTCCTCCCTTTCCAACCCCAACTCCCCACCCTTTACCTCCGTTTTCTTTGCTTTCAGTCTCGAGACTCTTTCTCTCGTGTCCATGTATAAAAGCACCTTACACCATTTTGTAACCCCGTATACGCTATCTTCCTCTCTCTCTCTCTCTTTTTCTCTCGTGGAAAGCATCTCCCACCCCACCTCCTTCCCATTCACTCACCCAACCTAACCACCCACCTCCACCTACCTACTTCCCTACCTCCCTCTTTTTCTTTCTCTTTTTCTTTCTCTTTTTCTCTTTCTGTCTTTCATTCTCAGCGCCCTTCCTCTCTTCCTACTCTCTCTCTCTCACTAACTCACTCACTCTTTTTCTCTTTCTCTTTCTCTTTTTCTTTCTCTCTTTCTCTCTCTCTGGAAACGTTTCCACGGTCGATCTTTTTGCGGATTTACACCTGTTGGACTTCTTCAATACTCCTCCTCCGTCCCCTTTCCCACCCCCTTTTCTTTCTTTCTTTCTTTCTTTCTTACTTTATTTTTCTCGCCCATTCTTAGAAGAAATCTTCCTCGTGAACTTGAAATCCTCGATCACGTTCTTTTTTTATCTCTTATCTAATATCATTTGCGTTTTTCCTTTTTCTAACTCAGCTGTGATTTCTCAATTAGAATTCATTAATCATTCTTCTACGTATTTATTATTTATATATTATTCTAAAGATTAATTAATTAAATATAATTTGAGTTGAGAGAATAGATTCGATTGAAATGATATATCGGGAGAATGATAATCTCAAAATTCAAATGAGTTATTAATTCAAATAAAAATATGCATGTTACATTGTATACATACAACACACATTTCATGCGTTTAATATCATCAGTGCCGTGGATTTATCAAGAAACTTGAGATACATTATCTATTTCACAAATTGAAATAAAAATTATTTACCATAAAATATTTTTCATATCTTTTGATCTATGAAATTGTCCGATAAATTGTTGTTGATTCTTAATCAAAATATTAATACAACATTGTTATATTTAATAAATCGACAAGAACTTTTCGAGTAAATTTAATGGCAAACGTTTATTGGTTTCTTAAAAAATTCCTACCGACGTAGACAAAAGGGGTAAATAAATGAAAAATATATAATCAATAAAGAAATATTCGTGACATTTGATATAACATTAAATTTGTTAGACCTGTTTAATCAAGCAACATAATTCAAGATAAATAGAATATGCACGAAATGTGGGGGTGTTTTGTAACGCCCAATAATAGCATTTTCCCAATTCGATGAAAGTTAAACTAAACTAAAAATATACAAGTAGAGTAAATTGTTTAGATAGATGTAATATACGGTCTAATATCAGTATAAGAGAATAGTATAATAAAGTCTGAAGTAAAAAAAGGGATTTCTTTCTCTCGTTTCGCGGCAATTAGTAGGGTATAATTGGTCGGGCGATGCCCTTGAACCCTAAGTATTGATTGGTGAGGTTGGATTCTACCGTTGGCTTTCCCTCTTGCCTCCGAACCGATGCCACCACCACCACCACCCCTATGCATCCACCTCCGGAGAGCGAACGACCAACCATCTCCGGCAGGCCTCTCACCCTCTGCTTGCTTACCCTCTTCTCTCTCTCTCTCTCTCTCTCTCTCTCTCTCTTTCTCTCTCTCTCTCTCTCTCACTTACTCGCTACCCTGCACTACCCTCAGTACAACCCTCTTCACCAGCACCCGATCGTCCGTGTTTCTCGCAGCCGACGCCGTCGTCCTTGTCACAGCGTGCCGTTCGACCTTTTTTTTCTTTTTCCTTTCTCCTTTCCTTTCCTTTTCTTCACTCTTTTCTTTTCTTTTCTATTCTATTCTATTCTATTCTATTCTATTCTATTATATTCTTTTCTATTCTATTCCATTCTATTCTGTTCTTTTTCTCGCATTTCTCTTCTTTTATCCGAGCCTACCCTTTTTTATTCGTTTAATCGAACACTGAAATGCTGTTTTCCGAATGAGAGGGAGTGAGAAAGGGAAGAAGGGATGGGATCTGTTCTTATTCTTATTCTTTTTCTTATTCTTTTTTGTTGTTGTTGTTGTTCTTCTTCTTCTTCTTCTTCCTTACTCTTCTACCTTGTTTGTTGTTAGATGCTAACGGCGATTGTCGACTTTAAGATAAAACGATATTCCGCTTGAACAGTGGATATATATGTATATTTTACTTAGGTTTGTGTTTTTCTTTTAGAGATCGATCAACCTTTAAGAGAGGAATCGTTTTTTTTTTCTTCTCTTTATTTTTTATTATTATTATTTATACCGGGATTATATTTTGATCGCGTTGCCCGCGTATTTTTGTATCATCTCGTAATTCCATGTTTTATTTAAATTTTATATTTATTTTCATTCGTTTTTCTCGTTTATAAAATTGTCTATAAATTTGTCGAATCCGTTAAACGACATAGAAACTTAAATTAGGAAAAAAAAAGCAATAAAATTATTATTTGAGAAAAGAAAGAAAAAAGAAAAAATGTATTTAAAAATAGACAAAGTTAATAAGTGCGCTCATGCATCGCCCCCCCCCCCTCCTCCCCGTCCCTCCCTCGATGACAAATATTTTGGGAAGAAAAAATATTGAAGCAAATCCTAAAAAAGTTAAAACGTTTTAGGTTTACTTTGAATGATTCATACGGGTATATAATAACCGTAAAGGATTTTTTCTTCTTCTTCTCTCTCTCAGTCATTGGGCGAGACGATTTTGCCGTCTCCGGGGCGCTTCGATCGTAATTATTCGTCGATAACGAAATCGTCCTAGCAGCCTCGTCGTCGTCGTCGAGCATGCCCGACGCAGACGTTCGATTACCATGCACCCCACGACCAACATCGACGAAGCCCCAACGGCTCGTCGAGCCCCAACGGCGAACGATTCGCGAACGTTTCCCCTAGACGATTTTATTAATTTCTCTCTCTCTTTCTCTCTCTCTTAAATAATCTAACTAATCGTTCCTCGAACAAACAAATACATATCTTCCATTTTTCTTTTTACTTCCCCCCTCCCCATTCGGTATTCTAAATCTAATTACGTTAATAATAATAAAGGAAAACAAACTCTTATTTAATTAAATATAAATATCAAGACACTATATAGAGATTTTTTAAAATTAATTTAAAATAATAATAAATTTCTCTACAGCAACGCGAAAGACACAAATCTAATATATATATATCTGTAAATCTAAATAAAAAACTAACAAGTATCCAAGTGTTAGTCAGTGGCTCTCTCTCTCTCTCTCTGGAGAGAGAATATAGAGTGCCGTGGGTTCGGGGGGTGGTCGATACGGCCCTGGGGCCGCGACAGCCGCGTCGGAGGCCTCCCCATTCTTCCTGCGGGCGTTTTTGCTGGCACTCCCCTCTCTATCAGCAGCAGCAGCAACAGAACCACCACCATCACCACCACCATTACTACTCGTCCTACTACTACAAATACAAATATACCTGTACCCCCAGCATCACAGCAACACAGAACCGTCTCGTTGCCGCTGCTGCTGCCGCCCCCTCGCGACTCAACCGAGCCGATTCGCCGGCGTCCGTCGTTGGCATCCCTCACAACTCTCATCCCCTCTCGAGCCAGCCGACGGCAGCAACTCAACCCACCTCTTACCACCACCCACCCTCCGTTCCCTCCAGCCAGGCCGCCACCACCTCCAAACTTTCCAACTCTACTCGCCAACCAACCCGTCCAACCCCTTTACCCTTCTACCCCCTCGCCTAAACCAACCCCTTTTGGTTCTCTTCGACCCCACCTAATCGTACCACCCGCCCCTCCCCTCCTCTGTCTTGATTAAAGAACGTGAAGCCACGGAACGTTCCGAATTTCAAGCCTCGCCACCCCTCCCCTCTCTCCGCCATGCCCCTTCACTACCCTCTCTTCTCCTCTTCCCTCAACACGTCACCCTTCTACCTACCATCCCTTCCTCCTACTCTCTTCGATCATCATCAGAACCTGCCAACGGTTTCCAGACCGACAATCTGACTCCTAGCAGGAACCACGTGGATTTTTCTCTACGAGCAGTTTGCCTACCCAACCCACCCATCCACCCCACCTCGAACCCCCTAACACTCTCATGTCGACCACCTTCCTTTTTCGTCTATCAAAGTCATTCACTCCGTCTTTTTCCTCTTCCTCTTTCTTTTATTTACTTTGCCCCCCCCTCTCACTCTTCTTTCCACGTGGCTCTTCGTATTTCTTTATTTTATTTTCTCTTCTTCTCTTTCTTTCCTTCTATGTTCTTTTTCTTCTTCTTTTTCTTTCTTTTTTTTTTATTCATTCATGTTTATCACCGATGCAGGTATTTTGTTTACTCGATTTTTTAATAATTTTATTTTATTATTTTCTTGCTCGTACTTATATAATATAGGATATTATTACATTGACAATTTTTATTGTTGAATTGATTTGCGTTTGATCGAGTTTTTTTTATTTTCCCTTCTTTCTCTCTCTCTCTCTCTCTCTCATTCCGTTTTTCCTTTTTCTCTTTTTCTTTTTCTTTTTCTTTGTAGCTTTAACCTTGATCCTCAGTTATATTTTCTCTTTTCCCACGGTTCTCTGTACTTTTTCAAGGTTAAGATCAGATAGGAGAATTCGTACGATAAGAGATGTCTCTTTTTGAAAATCGCGTTTACTTGGTTTTCTCGCTACAAAAGTGATCGTATGAATATAATGAAAATTAGTGATCATAATTTGGGGGTTGGTGGTATTTGTATTTCCATAGATTAATGTTGTACATTTGTATGAAAATTCTTTTTTTGTTTTTTTTTCTTTACAAATCAAATCAAATCAAATCAGATTCAATCGGATCAGATTAGATCAGATTATTATTTGAATTTGAGGCTTGAAATTGTCGATGAAATATTATTTGTATGTTACGTTTTTGTTTGCAGTCGCTTTTGAAAACGGCCGACCAATTGAAAATCAAGGGCCTCTGTGAAGTACCTGAAAGTAAGGACGGGCCACCATCAGTGAGTTTAAGCTCACCACCGAGAGAACCTGGTTCACAAAGATTCAACTTTACCAGGTTGAAGAGACCTTATCCAAGGTATAAGAGAACGAGGACATCATTTGAGCCTCGTGCCACTGATTCTAGGCATTACGATAGATATAAAGAGGAAGAGGACAGTGATAGTTACCATCGCAAAAATAAAGAGGTAAGTTAGAAACAGAAGCAATCCGATGATTCAAAAAGATTCATAAAAATATATACTAACATTATCATTAATATCCACACACCGATAACAATTAATTAGTTAATTAATTATTTAATGTTTGAATCATGTCCAGATATTATACCCGATGATTACATTTAAAAAGGTTTACAACATTAATGTACTCCGTTTAAAAATGAGAAATCAAAGTCACGTTGAGAGAGAGAGAGAGAGAGAGAGAGAGAGAGAGAGAGATCGCTGATTGATGATTTAATTCGAATTTCATTAGTGTATTCCGTTTTGAAATGAAACGTCAAAGTAATTCAGACAAAATATCTGATCATGTTCAAACATTCCTGATGATGGTGTTTCATTGAGATCTGATATTAATGTGTGTCCCATTTTGAAATAAGACGTCAAAGTGAATCGGCAAAAATGTTTGAATCGGGTTTAAGAAGACATCGCAATAATAAATTAAATGCAATCTATAATAATAACGTTGGTAAATTTCGCAGAATCGCAGGGACTGGCAGGTAGAAGATGAAGAGTGCACGGAGGTGGCAGCGGCAGCAGCAGTAGTTCTGGAAAGCTGCCAACGTAACAGTAACAATAGCACCAACAACGCTAACGGTACAAACAACAACAACAATAACGGTAAGCCAATCAGCTGAGTTCTGCGCCCCACACCTGAACCTTTGGATTTCTCGAAAAGGTCCCTTCTCTTTTCTAGACCTACGAAAACACGCGCCGCGTGCGTTTGTGCGTTCCTGTCGGAACCGACTGATTTCGCTCAAAGAGAAAGTGCAAAAGAGATAAAGACAAATAAAGAAATAAAAAGAAAGAGAGAGAAAGAAAGGTGGATGATGATAATAATAAACATCAATCGAAGTCGGTACGATAAATAAATCCCTAATGATTTAAGGATATAGGGGACTAGGAACGATGATAATATACCATCGTTCGATGTTGTTTCCGTGATCGAAGCATATCAAATCGCATCAAGCAATTGGATCACGTTCGGAACTTCGAGGGTTACAGGTGTGGGGCGGATTACCAGTTTTAGGGCCGGTGGGGACAGACCCTTTTCACTCGGAATAAAAAGGTGACATGTTCTGTCACACAGGGCTAGGTCATTACGGTCATCACCCAGATCCTGAGGTAGATCTGCCTCCAGAAACACAGCCCACACCACCTAGCGCTACTTTGGTCGGTACCACCATCACTCATTTGCGAGACTCTGATCATCATTCGACTGGTAAGAATACTCACTTACGTTACAAGCTTATACAAGGATTTTCTTCAATTCTTTAATATTATTACATCATACTTTTTTTCTTTATAATATTATGAAAATATTAAATAAAAGATATATATGACGAGAGACAATGCGCAACAAGGGGGTGGAAGAACTGGTCAATCTGAACAAAAAAAAGCATGATAAAAGACTAGTCGGTCATTAGGCTAAAAGGGAGTCAAAGTAATTGGTCTAATCGTGCTTAACTGACCGGGATTAGATTTGCGTTGCTCTATTCGTAACGGCCCACGCAGCCTCGTTTATAATGATGCTTGCATCTAGATTTACCTTTTTAACGATCTTCTCGTTTACGAACTTAATTCTTGTATCTCTCTCTCTCTCTCTCTCTCTCTCTCTCTCTCTCTCTCTCTCTCTCTCTCTCTCTCCCTCTCCCTCTCCCTCCCCCGAATAAGTAACTTTCTATTCAAAGTTATATACATTTTTTCATATTTAATTACACTTTTTCCAATGGGGTTTTCTTTTCTTTTTGTCCTTTTTCTACTCACAATTAGAGATACAAAATTGCGATACAGTGAAGATCAAGTTCGAAACCCTGCACACGATGGATTCTTCGGACACGATCGATATCGACAGTCATATGTCGGACAGAGCTAGTGTAAGCTCAAAAAATGCTGCGGACAGCGATAATATGATGATGATAACGCCTGAACTTCTCGGACTCATGCCCTCTGGCAGTTCGATTCATTCGGACTCGGGTGAAAATAATTCGAGAGGTCATTCTGGACAGTCGAGTTCACATCATCATGGTAATAAATCATGGACACAGGAGGACATGGATGCTGCGTTGGAAGCATTAAGAAATCACGATATGAGTCTTACGAAAGCATCTGGTAAATATACAAAAATTCACACACACACATTTTAGATTGAAAATCTTTTCAATCTAATTTATTTGATTTCGTTTTTTCCAGCTGCATTTGGAATCCCATCAACGACGCTCTGGCAAAGAGCTCATCGTTTAGGAATCGACACGCCAAAAAAGGACGGACCTACGAAATCCTGGAGCGACGAGAGTTTGAATAATGCATTGGAAGCACTAAGAACAGGAACGATCTCAGCTAACAAGGCATCGAAAGCTTTTGGTATACCTTCCAGTACACTTTACAAAATAGCAAGAAGAGAGGGTATTAGATTAGCTGCACCCTTTAACGCGAGCCCAACTACCTGGACACCTGCCGATTTGGATCGTGCATTAGAAGCAATAAGATCTGGTCAGACCTCTGTTCAGAGAGCTTCCACGGAATTTGGTATTCCTACGGGAACTCTCTATGGTAGGTGTAAGAGAGAAGGGATTGAACTCAGCAGAAGTAATCCCACACCTTGGAGCGAGGATGCTATGACCGAAGCTCTAGAAGCTGTCAGGTAAATACCTCTTCTTTTTTATTATTGCTAAATATAACATGAATATCGAAAGTCTCTTTAGATGGAGAATACAAAATATTTCTAAATTATTTTTAAAATATTATTATTATTATAGTTAAGGCTTCTGTCGTTTTATAAGCTAAGCTTATATTTATATTTGAGAACAAAAGAATAATATCTAGACCTTCTCCAAAAGCAAAGTCTCCAAAAACAGTAATTGATTTTTCAAATTGTCTAAAAACTTTTAATCGCCGTTTAAAGATTTTGGGTTCACCTTAGACTATTTCATATTTTTTTGAATTTACATCAATTATTATATGTGTATTTATGCATTTATATATTTATTTTGCAGGCTAGGTCACATGAGCATCAATCAAGCAGCTATTCATTACAATTTACCATATTCCTCCTTGTACGGACGTTTTAAAAGAGGCAAATACGAGGAACCGGTAGTCGGTGATTTGTCACAGGACGGCACCAACTCACACTTTCATCAAAGTCCTACGCAGAATCACTCATCTACGATTCCCGATCAAATGTCTTATCAGGGTAGCTGAAATTTACCCTTGTATTAGATCGTTAAGTTATAGTGAATAGTTAACTTCGGTTATCTATATCTATATGTATGAAGAGGAAGGTGACAAAATACAGAGAGTGACAAAGAAAAGAAGAAAAACTAAAAGAAGACGAATGGGAAGAAGAGGAGAAAGAAGAAAATAAAAAAGAAAAATGATGAGCGGGTTCAAGGGGGTTCGAAAGGGAGACTGAATTGAAGAAGAAGTAAACCCGATTCGAAGACTAACGATATTTTAAATAAAAATCGTTCATTGTGAAGAATCACGAAACATGAAGCAGATACTGCAGTATTAAGAACACGATCGCGCCGTTTTAATTAAGAAAAAAACGGATAATTATTGTATATTGTATGATTTCTTTTCTGTCATATCGGAAAATATAAATTAATCATTATTTATAAGCGATATTTATAGAAAAACAAAATAAAACAAAAAAAATGATAAAAAAAAGAAGTAATACTATAAAACACGGAGAATTTAAAATGAAAAAGAAAAAAAAAAAAAAAGATTGACAAGAACAAAATACATTGTACAGTTCGGGCAAATAAAAATTCCGGTAAAAATCCTTTTTAGCTATGTAAGAGAAAACAAACCACACAACACAAGATGCGGCTTTTTATTAGGCCTATGTCGGAGATATAGATATATAAATATTTCATGAGGATAAAAAATGTCGTTCGTTTCTATTGTGAAGAAAAAAAAAATAAAATAAAATGGTCATTATCACATAAACACACATATACACAAAGGACACACATGTACATTACGTATGTTTGTTATTTAATATTCGTATATTGTATATATACGAATTATTTTTTATTTATAATTTTGATATTATACGTATTCGTAGAAGCAAATTGATTTTATTCAATCAAATTGACGCGCGAAAAATTTGTACATGCGTTTGATTTAAACTATTATATAGGTAAAGAGAAGGAAAATGTGTGTGTGTGTGTATATATATATATATATATTTATATATACACATATGTATAAATATTATTTAGTAATATTCGCAAGAAATTCCACTATTATGTGTAATGTTTCAAGAAAACAAAAAAGGAAAAAAATACTATTTATATCATTGTGCAATTCTTGAATAAGAAATCTTTGAGGTATGCGCGTTGAAATGTAATTTTTTTCTTTTTTTTTTTTGTGTATGCAAGATGATTGAATAATCGATAGCAGGGCACACATGTATGCATATTTCTTTCTTTTTTTTCTGATACAAATAATCATGATCTATCTGATTATTTTTTTCTATTCATTCTTATTTTTTTCTCACGTACAATTTCATGAATTTTTACACGGCCAAAGGTGAAGGCAGGAGACAAATGGTGGAGAGCTATAATATTTTCGAATGTATTTGCAACTTGTAGTACTTTTTTTTTATCTTTTTCTTTTTCAAGAAAAATTTCTCTCCTATTTTGTTGAATATTTTTAATTTCCTTCTATTTTGTATTGTATATTTTATTTTATTTTATTTTTTAATTATTACTAATCAATCTTCTCCTTCAGCTCGACTGCCACAAATGTATTGCATATGTTATATGTTATATAATTTATCAAGCTCTCACCACACCTATTATATTATACATAAATATACATATATAAATATATATACTACTTATGAATATATGTACAGTTTATATATTTTAAATTAAAAACTATCGCAATCAGAAGAATGTTTTATCCCCATTCATTGTGACAACACAAACCGTTATTTAAATAAAATAATTAAATAAGTAGATACAAGAATTTAGAAAGTTCGATTTAAAAAATTCGACGCGAATCAAATTCAAAAAACCTCGCATCGCGCTGCGCATGCGTGCTACCCTTTCCAATTTTTATCAAAGTGCAGATAAAATCCGAACGAGATAATTACTTCATGGAATTAAACGAATAATTATCGCGATAAAAATTATATCGATTATTTTAAATTATTGTCGAACAATATTGAACTAACGCGAAATCGATAAAACTCGAAATAAATGTTATCAATAATATTTAAATACGTCAACGTTATATAAGTTTAAAATAACCTCAACTGTCAGTAATCGATGTGTGTGAACTGTCAAAATTAATAATTTTTATTAATAATAATATAATTCCAATTGTGTGTTCATATGGCTGCCGAAGCGCAATGTATATTCTGTAAAATAATTAGAAATGAAAGTCCGAGTGAAAAGATTTATGAGGTAAGTAAAATTTAATTTGTTAAAAAACAAACAAAACGAAAGTAAATTTTGTTCTATTATTTAATCTTGACGTTTGATCACCACCACTGCCCCCAATTTCTATTGTTGTAATGTACGTAAAATATTGAAATAACATTAAAAAATAATACTAGAAGGCGTTAACGATATGCATAAAATCATTTTTAGGATGAGAACGTAACGGTTATTAAAGATATCAATCCAGCATCTACTCATCATTACTTAATACTGCCAAATAAACATATACGCAATGCCAAAGAATTAAAACGTGAAAACGACGAGCTTTGTAAGCGAAAAGAAAAGTTTCAATAATTTTTTTCGTTACTTTTAGTTTACTGTTTGAAGAAGAAAAGTATTTGTCATGATTTATACTTTTATAGATGATAAAATGATTGCAACCGTTCAAATAATAGCAGAACAACAAGGACTCGATGTTGAATCTACCAGGACTGGTTTTCATTGGCCGCCGTTTAACACTGTACATCATCTTCATTTACATGTTATATCTCCCATCGAAAATTTGTCTTTTATTAAACGAGCAATGTTTAATCCTAATACTCCATGGTTCGTTAACGTAAGTATTAACGATAAATTATCATACATATGCTTGCATGTATGTTTATTAAAATAATAATACAATTATTTAATCGATGTACTTTTTTCTTTCTTATTGCAGACGGACTACGTGAAATCGCATTTACTAAAACAATGATACGTGATATGTATAATTTAATTATTATTGAAATTTTATAAAAATTTATATCTCTGTTATTTATACTTATATATATTAATTATTTCAATTTGATTGCATAATGTTTTAAGCAAAAAAACTTATTCATTTTATATTAAAACAATTAGCATTTTATATAGATTGTAATTTTAATCTATAAGTTTTGTATAATTTCCTTGATTAAATATACGTTGCCATTCTCTTCCATTGGGATAAATATAATTTAAAATGCTTTCATTTTTGAGCTTAGTCGAATAACCTGGAGTATTAGGCGGTATGTAACAAGCATTCTTAAGCTTTACCGGATCTTCAAAATGTTCGTGTTGTTGATCTACATATTCTATAACACGATCTACTATCGTTCCACTAAGAGATATGAAATCCCACATTTGAAGATGCTGAACCATTTCGCATAAGCCTATACCTCCAGCATGTGGACATACAGGTACTAAAAAGATAAATTTAATTGTATATTTATTTTTAAGTTAAATATAAAAAATAATAAAAATAAATAAAAAATAATAATTACTCCCAGTTTTTTTAGCCATAAGATAGACGGCTAATATCTCATTGATTCCACCTATTCTAGCAGAATCTATTTGACAAAATTGAATAGCTCTTGACTGTAACAGTTGTTTAAACATAACACGATTCGCGCACATCTCACCAGTTGCAACAGCTATACCAACAGATTTCAATTCGTTAGCAATCTTGGCATGACCTAAAATGTCATCTGGTGAAGTGGGCTCTTCAATCCAAACTGGTTTAAATTCCTTCAATTGTTTCATCCATTCTATCGCTTCCTTGACGTCCCAAATCTGATTAGCATCCAACATCAATTTATTTTCATATCCAATTATTTCGCGTATCAAGCGACATCGGTTAATATCATCTTTTATATTTTGACCGACTTTAGCTTTGAAAGAAGTAAATCCCAAATCTAAAAACTTTTTACAAAGTTCTTGAACTTTTTCATCGCTGTAACCCAACCATCCTATTTGTGTTGTGTAAGCGGGATATCCATTTTTGATTAAAAACTTTTCGCGTTTCATTTTATCCATTTCGTTATTTCTTAACATTTGTATTGCCTCTTCCTTTGTAATAACGTCGGTACTGTAAATAAAATACATTTCTTATATCTTCATTGTGTGATCTTATTCGAAATGAACTTTTAAATTTTCTGTGTAAAATGCTAACATGTATCGAAAATCGATAGTAGAAACTAATTGTTCTGGCGTTAGATCTACGAGAAGTTTCCAAACGGGTTTTTTTTCAATGCGAGCCCACATATCCCACAAAGCGTTTACTATAGCAGCTGTTGCAAGATGAATTACACCTTTCTCTGGACCAATCTGAAATCAAAATTAACATAAATGTTACGTTTTTTTTTTTTTTATAAATCTATGTAATTATTAACATATACCCATCTTAGTTGTGATTCACTAGTCAGTTTACGCCAGAACGATGCGAAATCTTTAAAAATATTTAAAACTTGTTGTCCTTTTAACAAAGTAGACAGAGATTCGCACGCCTTGACGACTAAAATTAAATAAATAATTCATTTTCACTCGAATAATTTTGATAATAAGCTTAAACAAATAAAAATCTTCTTCGTTTTACCTATTTCAGTTCCTCTACCCAAAGTAAATGTTAATCCATATCCACGAATATCCGTATTAGTTATTAAAATCACATACGCGCATGAATAATCGGGATCTTTATGCTACAAATAAAAAAAAGGAATGTCTTTATAAACACAATAAAATTTTTGTATATACTTTTCAATTATATTTTTAAGATCTTAATATAATATTTTATTTACTAACCATTGCATCGCTACCATCTGCCCTTAAGGATGTAGGAAATCTAATATCCTTAACTTCGACATCGACTATATTAATATCCATGATATGCTTGCCAAAATAAATCCAATGATAGAAGCAAACTGTATTTAATATATGCAGCGTGCAACGATACTAAATTGAAACTTAAGAAATAATACGTATTATCTGTTTCTTGCGTGAACATTTGCATAGATAAGTATTATCAGTTATTCAGATAATAATATTTAAGTATCAACATCAAATAAATTTTGTACGTAATACGAAGTAGATAAAGCAAATTTATACTTCGAAATTTCATGCCTTTGCTTATCAAAGTAAAAGATATATTAATATCTTCTATATTCTTTTTATATAGCCTGTAAAGATATATCTTATTAAATAAAAATAAACAACTATATTGTTCGTAATACATCGTATATATATATATATACGTACATGTATATTTTTCATCGATATTTATGATTAACTATTTAGTCCCAGGAATCTTTTTTTAAAAATTGTATCAACTAATGTCAAGCGGGACGACAAAATATCAATTTCACATTGCGTTTCAATAAGGTAGTAATTTTGACAATGAATCTGAACAGCATGATCACACTGCTTGGGACTTAAATGATTAATATTGAAATTTCCACACAACATGTCTTAGATAAGTATTATTAACGAAAAATGTAGAGAAAGTATTATATTACATGAATTATATTATATTTAAGTTGTATTTATAAGCAAACGTGTAATAATTGATATTTTTGTTTAGTTAATTAAATTAATAATAACGACAGCTGATGCAGCTGAGTATATAGTTATATACTATATATATCTAGCTTTCTTTAATAATATATTTTGAGCTATAATACAAAGTACGAATGATATACTTGATAGACTATACTTTGATGAAATAATACAATTAAAATCTCTTTTACGGTTGATTTTTAGTCACTTCAGTAGATGTGGCTTTAGTAGCCGGAGTAGGAGGTATGGTCTCTGGTTTGCTTTCCGGTTTTTGATCAGATTCATCTCTTGATTTATTCCATTCCTGTAAACCTTGTGGCAATGTTGTATCTTCTTCAAAGGAGCCAGTACCTTCGACGAATTCTTCGTACGTTGATTTTTCTTTGAAAGGTCTAGGTCCGATTAATGCAATCATATCGTCTCTATTTAAAATCTCTTGTTTTAAAAGATGCTCAGCTACCTATAAATTTATTCAAAATTATTCAAACCATTCTACAAGATGGATATCGTTAAAACTAATTACAGCATTAATATATACCTTAATTACATCTTCCTTATGCTTTGTAAGAATACTATGTGTGTGTTTATGAGCTTTATCAATTAACTGGCGGACTTCATCATCTATTAGTTGTGCGGTATTCTCGGAATAAGGTTTGTCCACAGCAAATTCACCTGGTTGTGGTCTTTGAAAGCTAACGTTTCCTACTTTTTCGTTCATACCAAACTGCACGATCTGAGCGTATGCACTTTCTGTTATCTATTGAAATAATTATTATTATAAATAAATTATTCATTATTTGAAATAACAAATTATTATCAATTATCTTTATGATACCTTTTGTAAATCATCACTAGCACCTGTTGTTATGCGATTAAAAAATATTTCTTCTGATACTCTACCTCCAAGCATTGTACACATTCGATCAAACAATTGTTCTTTCGAGTAAAGATATTGTTCACGTGGTAAGTATTGAGCATAACCTAATCCTTTTCCTCTTGGTATAATAGATACCTAAAAGATATAAAATATATTTATTAAGGTAATTGATAATAAGTAATTAGCTTTTATAAATTGTACAAAAGTACCTTCAAAATTGGATCTGCGTATTCCAAGAACCAACCTGTTACAGCATGACCAGCTTCGTGATATGCAACTGTTCTCTTTTCTTCTGGTTGTAAAACCTGTGTTTTTTTTTCCATACCAGCTATTACTCTTTCTATGGCTTGTTCAAAATGTTTTAGTAAAATATTCTCGTTCAAATCTCTGGCTGCTATGAGAGCTGCTTCGTTACAAACATTAGCGATATCAGCTCCTGAGAAATAACAAAAAATAATTTTGTTATATTATTATTTATATGAAATTTTATAATATGTACATATTTTTTTATTTTTTATTTTTATACATATATATATATACCAGTAAAACCAGGTGTCAAGGATGCCATTTTTCTAGCTAAATCATTTTTATCTAAAAGTGTTTTTAAACAGGCCAAATGAACCTTAAATATAGAAGCACGTCCTTTGATATCCGGTGCAGGAACATAAATTTGTCTATCAAATCTACCAGGTCTTAAAAGTGCCTTATCCAAAATATCCACCCGATTAGTTGCGGCTAAAACGACCACGTTAGTTGTTGTGTTAAATCCTGAAAGGGAGAGAAAACAAGAAATGTGTTAATACAAAATCTAATATTATTATTTATTTCAATAAAAAAATTAGAGAGGTTTTCTTTTTACCATCCATTTCCACCAAAAGTTGATTAAGTGTGTTTTCTTGTTCTGAGTGTCCACCAAAATTACGACTGCCTCTTTTCCTTCCTACCGCATCAATTTCATCGATAAACAAAATACAAGGCGCGTGCTTTCTTGCCATAGAAAACATATCTCTTACTCTAGAAGGTCCAACGCCAACAAACATTTCTAAAAATTCTGAACCTGATACAGATATAAATGGTACATCTGCTTCACCAGCAGTTGCTTTAGCAAGCAATGTTTTTCCTGTTCCAGGAGGACCTATAATAATTGTCAGTTTATTACATGTTCTATTTGAATTGTATCTATTATTTGTGTTATTAATAAAACAGTCGAATACCTGTCAACATAGCTCCTTTAGGGATCTTTGCTCCAAGATCTATATACTGTTTAGGATTTTTCAAAAAATTTACAAATTCCATAATTTCGATTTTTGCTTCTTCGCATCCAGCCACATCTCTGTATTTAAATTACGCATAGATAAAATCTAATTTATTATTGTAGATTAGCACATGATCAGAATTTAATATAGCTTACTTAAATCGAACATGAATATCTTTGGAATTAATTAATTTAGCAGTTGATTCCATCACACCACCAAATAATCCTTTTCTACGACCACCTTTTCCGCTTATCGCTTCCATTGAACGTCGCAACATGAGTAAAGCTAGACCTATAAAATCATATAATATAATTAATTAATATTAATCGTTTAATGATTAACTTTATAAATGAGCAATAAGTAATAGTAACAAATACCAAAGAAACATAGTTGTAATATATGTGTCAGTAGAGTCGATAGTTCTACTTCGGATTTATATATAATTGGAACATCATGTCCAGGTTCTATATTTAATTCTATTTGAATATTTTCTAAATTTCTTTCAAATGTTTCAGTGCTCCCAATATTGAACCATAGTGTATTCTAGAAATAACATAGTTAACTTACTGCTATTATATCACCAAATTAATATGATAATTGATATGATCAAATATTGAAACACTTACATATCCATCTACGGTATGACCAGGAATCAATTTGACTCGAACAAATTTTTTATTTACAACTTCCAATTGTTCTACTATTCCTTTACTCAAGTAACTGAAATAAAAATCGAGAAACAAAATGAAACATCAAAAAGAAGAAGAAGAAATCGCATAAGTCAAAATATTACTTACTTGTTTACAAATTCTCTCCATGTTGTTTGTCTTGAATATATATCGTCGGAGAATGCATAGAACAATGCACTTATAGTCGCTACAAAAATTAATCCTCCCCATATGTATTTATCATTATTGCCAAATGAGTTCCCTCCTTTTCTTTGCTGCCAGTTTTCGCCAAAAATTTTTTCCGTCCAATTAATCTCAGTATCTTTAGAACTGGACGACGATTGTTTACTCGATTGAGTATCTTTACTCGATGTACTCTCCGATGTTTTCTTTTCTTCTTCATTAATTTTAGTTTGTTTCCCACCACCTTTACATAAATATTAAGTTTATCCGCTTTAATTATTAACCCCTTACACTAAAACAATGTACAAGATTCATAATACGCTTTACAGCCCACAACATGAGAAACACGAATCTTATTCATGACAAGATCTACAGATACAACATAAGAAGAACAAGTCTTGTTTGCAAATATGATACGCAGTTCCATGCATTAAATTATAGCTCAAAGAGTTAAGATTGTTATTAATATTATTGATATTGACATCGCTATTAATAGAGGATAAAAAAAATTAAATGTATTTTTAAAAATATTAGTTACCTCGTTTAAAAAATTTTTCAAATCCTTTGGGATGTTGCTTGCACAACAATTTCCATTGCTGTTGCAATTCTTCAATCACAGGCATTGTGTAACATCTTTTTAGAATTGATAAATGTCTTTTCAACTGGAAAAGTATACAATTTGATACGCATAATATATTTATGCATTTATCGTACATTTTATTTAACATTTAAATAAAAATAAGGTGTATGCACAAATGTATATATAAAAAAGCAGAATATAATTTTTTCAATGGAAAAATACAAGATTGGAAAAGTGACAATTGTATCCATACAAAATAATTTTTATATAAACAAATAGAATATAATAAATTGATCGAAAATGATTTATACGTTTATTGAAATATTGAATGTTGCAAGTAATAATGTTGGTTATATCATAAATAAATTGTAGGTTATGTTTTATTAAAAACATACCTGAAATGTATCAAAGTGTCCTTTTTGAGCGGATACAAATAAAATTTTTTCTAATCTTCTTGCACACAATAACAATTGATTAGCCATAGTTAATATATATTAGATTAATTATTATTTCGCAAAATGATGAAATAATCCTTTCCCGAGGTAACTAATGTCGATGAACAGCACAGTACCGGCGGCAAGCTACCTTTTCAAGATACTGTACATGAAATATACACTGATTTACTAAATATGTGTGTGTATGATGTGTATATGGTACGGTTAAAACTAGATCTAGTAAGATCTCAAATATAAAATTTTAGATAACTTATTTGATTTCATAATATTTTCATTTTCTTTCAAAAATATGTAAGTATATATTTAATCGATACGATTCAGTTAAACTTTTCGATCCTTAATTAATTTTTTTTTTTATTTCATTCATTTTTGTAACCTAAAAATTCGAATTATTTTTTATTACTATTATTTTTAAAAAAAAGTAAATTAAAATGAAATTTGTTATCAGTCAAATAACTTCGTTAATATTATTGATTGTAAGATTTCAGTATAAATACAATAATTGTAAAAAGAAAATTCATTTTTTAAATGGTGAGATAATGTATACTCACTGTTTTAAATTAAATTTGCAATTTGGATCATTTGAGATGGATGAAAATTTGATATAATTATTTTTTGCAATGACAAAATAGAACGCGTTAATTTAACATATTTTGTGTGAGGAATAAAATGTTAGAGAGAAAATTGACAATGTTTTTTTGATTAAATGTATATATGTGTGGGTATGTAATTGTTTTGTTATTAAACGCGTTGGTTGATAGTTTAATGATTTTGTTTGTTTTCTTTTGTTAAAGATCCATGTATTATTATTTGCAGAATTCCGTATTTTCTTTCTATAAGGAGTTTAAAAATGCCACGTGATATACGATCTTATTTTACGAGCACTACTGTTAAGAAATCAAAGGATCAGTCAACAGATAAATCAGCTGATAAACCTACAATTAAAACTAAAAAAAGGGCAATAATATCGTCTGACGAAGAGGAGACAAAATCATCCTCTGTGGTAAAGCGTACCAAATATACAAAAACATTTAACAAGCATCATCTTTTATCAGACTCTGACGATGAGATTCAAATAACGTCGACTGTTAATAGTAAAAAAGTAGAATCAATTAATAATACCAAACAAGAATCATATGTCAAAGATGAATTGAAAAGCACTATTTCGCCAGCAGAAATGTTTAGTAAAGGGTCGGTGAGGCGAGAAACCATACAGAGAAAAATAAAGAAGAAGAACGAAAAGGAAGATGACAAACTTAACTTAACTAAGTTAAACACGAAGAAATTAGAAAAAGAATATTTACAAAATGTCAAAGAAGATGACAATGAGAAAAACAGAACAAATAATACGATAGATGATCGAGCAGAAAAGAAAACTAATAGAACTTCAAACGAAAAAAAGAAAGATAGTGTATCCGTCGATGATGAAATATCTTATAGAAAAATAGATACAAAACAAGAAGATAAATCTTCTGGTAGTAAAGAATTATCTTTAACTAATGAAGAGAATAACGTCGATACAAAAATGAAAAATTTTCCCAAAAAAGCATCTAAACGTCCTAAAGCTATTTCCACAATAGAAATAGAATCTAAAAAAGCGAAAAACGAGAATGCACTTACCAATAGTTCAACATTAGACGAATACGAAGAAAGAATTCAAATGAAAAAACAAAGTTCAATGCTATATCAGAAATATCTTAATAGGGGTGGAGCGAGAAATCCTGGTTCTAAGGAAATTCCGCAGGGAGCAGAATATTGCTTAGCAGGCTTAAGTTTTGTAATAACAGGAGTTTTGGATTCGTTAGAAGATGAAGAAGCTAAGGAATTAATAATAAAATATGGTGGTCGTATTTTGCATCAAGTATCGAGAAATACAGATTATCTCATAGTAGGTGAAGAATATGGACCTGCAAAAATGGCTAAGGCCAATGAGTTAAAAATAAAAAAAATATCTGAAGATGATTTGTTAGAATTGATACGAGAAAGACCTAAAGGAAAAGCTGAAGATATCAAAAAATCTCGTTCAAAATCTAAGGAAAATTCAATATCAAAGATAGAACATCATGAAATACCAAAACTGCAAAAAAGTGTTAAAGAAACAGTAGAACCTGTAAAAGAAACAGTAGAACCTGTAAAAGAAACAGTAGAATCTGTAAAAGAAACAGTGGAACCTGTAAAAAAAACTGTAGAACCTTTAAAATCTTTGGAAACAAAATTAGATTCTAAAGTTATAGCAAATGATATTGTAATAACAAAAGGTTGCGAAGCATTAGTTGACAAATACAGACCGAAAAGTACAAAACAAATATTAGGGCAACAAGGAGATAAGAGTTGTGTGAAAAAGTTGCATTATTGGTTATCAAATTGGCATAAAAATCGAAACAAGAAATATGTAAAACCTAGTCCCTGGGCAAAAAATGATGATGGAGCATATTTTAGAGCTACTCTGCTATCAGGGCCACCTGGTATTGGTAAAACTACTAGTGCTCAAGTAGTATGTAATGAATTAGGTTTCGATCTATTAGAATTTAATGCTTCAGATACAAGAAGTAAAAAACTTTTAAAGGAAAGAGTTTCCGAAATTCTATCTAATACAACAATAAAAAATTTCTTCACGGGAGAAAATAATAGTAAACACGTATTGTTAATGGACGAGGTTGATGGTATGGCTGGTAACGAAGATCGTGGAGGTTTGCAGGAATTGGTTAGCTTAATCAAATCTACGGATGTACCAATAATTTGTATTTGCAATGATCGTACTAATCCCAAAATGAAAACTCTCTCCAATTATACATTTGATCTTAAATTTCAAAAACCGAGATTAGAGCAAATCAGGGCAACAATGAAATCGATATGTTTCAAAGAAAATATCAAAATATCTACTGAACAACTCGATCAATTAATTGAATCAACTAGTCACGATATTCGTCAAGTGATCAATCATTTGTCATTATTAATTGATAAATTTGAAAATGTTGAACAGATAAAGTATAAACCAAATAAGGACTTAAAATTAGGGCCTTGGGAAGTAGTTAAAAAGGTTTTTAACGTTGAGGAACACAAAAATATGAATATTAATGAAAAAAGTGATCTCTTCTTTCATGATTACAATATAGCACCATTGTTCGTACAAGAAAATTATCTTTCAGTAATGCCTGCAACTCCAAAAACTGAATTATTAGAGAGAGTCGCGCAAGCAGCAGAGAGTATAGCATTAGGAGATGGCATAGAAAAAGCAATTCGAAGTAACAATGCATGGTCCCTTCTACCAATTCAAGCATGTTTTTCTTCTGTTATTCCTGGTAGTATGATGTCTGGACATATACAAAATCAAATTAATTTTCCAGCTTGGCTTGGATGTAATTCAAGAAGAAATAAGTTTGATAGATTATTACAAGAGATAACTGTGCACACACGTTTGACTACAGGTGTTAGTAAGGAAGCAGTCAATTTGGATTACTTAAATCATATAAAAGATGCCATTGTTAGACCTTTAGTCAATAACGGTACTGAAGGAGTAGACGAAGCAGTTAATGTTATGACACAATATCATTTGTTAAGAGAGGATTTAGATTCCTTGAATGAAGTTTCTATGTGGCCAGGACAAAGAAATTCAATTCAAGCAGTAGAGAGTAAGGTATTAGCAGCATTTACTAGAACGTATAACAAAAACTCTCCTGGCCTACCTTATTCTATTACTACCAGTAAGACAAAGAAATCTGCAATGACTTCGCAAGAAGATTTAGAATCTATAGAAGTTGTAGAAGATGATATAAATTCAGACGAAGAGGAAGACAACATTAATTTAGATAAAATGATAAAAGCAAAAAAGCCTACGGTAAAAAATAAAAAAGAAACGGAAGAAAAAAGTAGTAAAAAACCTACCGCCAAACGTGGAAAAGGGAATAATAAGAAAAGTAATATTTAATAAGGAAATATATATGTTTTGTGCTGCTATTGTCAATTGTTATTAAGTTCTACATGTACTTGCCCTGTATGATTTATAAAAATAAATCTTTCTACATGTATGATAAAATATCGTATAATATTATTTCTAATTAAGTTCAATCATTTTATACTTATTTTTTTTTTTAAAGAAATAATTTGGATATTTTTCTTATTTTAAAAAATATTATTAAAATGAGTTCTTTATTGATTATACAAAATTATATTGGAAATGTATCTCTTTCCAATTGTGAATACTTTAATAGGTTTAATTACATCGTCAACCTATGAAGATATAAACAAGTAATGAAAATACTTGGATCATATTTGTATATCTCTTATAGCGATAACAATCAATATTTGGATTTAATTATTATTAATTCTTCTCTCTCATAAATGTAAAAAAACTACATAGTTGTTTTGTTTCATCATATATATATAAGAGAAAGTTAATAAGAAATTTAGAATTCAGATTCGGGACGCGTCTCGACCCATTTTTTGATACTTGGAAGATTAAGAACCTTGTTCTGCAATGCTTTGAGATTATCATATTTCTCAATGATATTAGATTTCATCATTCCGTTAAGATAATCCAATAGAGCAACAAAAGTAAGATCTGCCCAAGTCAAAGCACCGCCAACGAAGTAACCTCCATTAGTTTTTACTTGAGCGTCCAAACGTTCTAATATGAATGGTACTACTTCCTTAGCTACCTCTAATTTTGCAGCCTTAACTTCAGGATTAGTTTCATAAAAATGAGCAGCGAGTTCTGAAAATAAAAAAAAACGTATGAATAAAATTCAGCGTTAATTAACAAAATAATTAACTTGATAGGAATATTGATATCAAAGTAACTTACTTGCACGAAGATCATGAATAGTGTCGACGGTAGCGTCGATCTCTAAATTTTCCCAGTCGTCTTTTCCAGCAAGTTTAAATTGTTTAGCCAAGTAACGACTGATGGCAACAGATTGATTGATTTTCTTTCCATCTACTTCCAACATGGGTACTTGTCCAAAAGGCGTAGCTACGAAAGAACAATTACAACATTTTTATAATCATATTAAATGTAAAACTTATTTGCGTTTTATTTTATATATTCTATTCTGTACATTRTATGCTTACTTGGTTTTATTTTAGTAGGCCAATCATTTCTGTCAAAACGAACATCTTCAAATTCGACTCCAGCATAGCTAAAAAGGAAACGGATTGGCTCAGCCAAAGCTTTTACTGGGAAGTAAGTTAACTTATAGGAAGGCATTTTTCTGAAAGAAAACAAATAAATATATATTAGTATAAATTAAATCAGTAATTATGAAACTTTGTCTTCGAAAATTTTATTTTAGAAATTAATCAATTGAATAAAACTTTAATATGATTAGTATATATTATTAAAATACAATAAATCTGTATAAATAAATGTAAATATATTTATATTTAAATTGAATACAATTTATCGATTATTGGTAACCATTAATCGATAATCGATGGTCGATGATTGGCTATAGGTAATCTTTTTTTCTTTTCACCGTAGAAAATTAAACTAAGAATAAAATAATAATTAACTCATCATATAGATAACCAGATAAATATGGTTAAGATATCAGATATCAGATAAAAAAGATATACATTTCTCAAAAGATTTCTAAGTAAATAAAACTTTCGAGAAATTTCTATTAGGTAATGGATTTTTTAATTACCTAAAGTCGAAAAATGATAAATCATTGTGCTGATTTTTATAATCAGTTTTTCACACAATAATGATTATTCTTTCTTGTGTAACAATGATATTTGAAACTTTTATCATTACAGTCTTATATTATAGTATAATAGAAATAAATAGTGATTAAGATAATTTAAATATTTATATATAAAAAAATRACTAGAATTAATTTGAATAATCCGCCATTTTTTCATGATTCTTAGTAAAATTAACTACAAAATCCTATTTAATAAATATTGTCAATTTATTTATTTAACGCTATTTCGTTAATCAATAATTACAAAAGTATGTACTTCAAACATTTTTATCGAATAATTTCTAGCTGGGCGTGTCATATTGTACTATCTTGATTCTATTAATAGAATTATAGATTTCAACCTGTGTAATTTCGAGTATTGCATCTTTCGGAGTAACAAACCGATATAATATTAAGTTATACAACCATTTCCGTCTGACTTTGACATCGAGAAATTTCGTTTAATATAACAATGACTGTATATAATTATAATCGAATAAATAATATATACGTATATATAAGTAAACGTATAAATAAGTTACGTATAAAATAAGTTAATCAAATTACCGGTTATGACAAGAGGTCATCATCTAAAGTACATTAATATCATTAAAACAAATAAAAAAGAAAAGTATAGAAAATTAAAATGTACTTACAAGTTTTCAGCTAATGTACAACAGTAAACAGCGATGGTAGAAATGTAATAGATCAATTCGAAAGGATAGCTCTTAAATACTATCGTGAACTATTTCGTATCTCGTTTATCGACTCCCACCAATGAATAAATCGAATTTATATCTTATCACACCCTTCATCTCTCCCCTAGTCGACAATCTTCTCAAATAATGAAGATGCATCTTAATGCCGCCATTTTATAACTATACCAATCACCGAACGAGATAAACAAGTCGGAAAATTTAAAATTATTACAAAGATGCAAATGAAATCAATTCTTTATCGATTATACGAAATTATGTTAGAAATAAATCTTTTTCCTATTGTGAATACTGTAAAAAGTTTAACTAAACTGTCAACCTTTATCAAGGTACAAGAGAATATTGAAAATACTTTTATCATCTATACATAAACTCTCTTACAACAATTAAAATCACAATACTCGTATATATTATTTATTTTTTTCTCTCATAGGTATAGAAAAATACATAAGCTTTTTGTTTTATAATATATGTACGATTATATCAAAGGAAGTTAATAAGAAATTTAGAATTCAGATTCGGGACGCGTCTCGACCCATTTTTTGATACCTGGAAGATTAAGAACCTTGTCCTCCAATGCTGTGAGATTATCATATTTCTCAATGATATTTGATTTCATCATGTAGTTAAGATAATACAATAGAGCAACAAAAGTAAGATCTGCCCAAGTCAAAGCACCGCCAACGAAGTAACCCCCATTATTTTTTACTTGAGCGTCCAAACGTTCTAATATGAATGGTACTACTTCCTTAGCTACCTCTAATTTTGCAGCCTTAGCTTCAGGATTAGTTTCATAAAAATAAGCACCAATTTCTGGAAAAGTGTATGAATGAAATTCAGCGTAAATTAACAAAATAATTAACTTGATAGGAATATTGATATCAAAGTAACTTACTTGAACGAAGATCATGAATAGTGTCGACGGTAGCGTCGATCTCTAAATTTTCCCAGTCGTCTTTTCCAGCAAGTTTAAATTGTTTAGCCAAGTAACGAC